TCAATTATAATTTTGATTAATTTTAATTTTTATCTATTACTATTAACTATAAACAAATATTGATAAAAATTAATTAAAATTAATATTAATAATAATTAATAATTTTTATTTTATATTACTATTAGTTAATATTTATTGATATTACCAAAATTTATTTTTATTAATATGTATTTATAATTACTATTAGTCAGGGTTATAATTGGAAAAGTGGCAAAAAAGCTTTTAAAATATTACACCAACTAGCCTTTCAATAAGTTAATTTATGTTCATTCAAACAACAACTCAAAAAATAAGTTAAGGGGTTGTTTACTAAACGCTTACCTGGTAAGTGCTTACCGGGTAATTTTCCTCACCGGATTAACATGTCAAGGGTCAATAAGCTTACTTGGTAAATAGAGAGTTTTACCCGGTAAGTGAGGGTGACGACTTTTACCCGAGTAAGTGTTTACCGGGTAAATTATTGCATAGCATACCGTTTTCATGTACTACAATCTTATCCGATAAAAATAAATTATAATATTGATTCATACTGATAAGCACTTACCGAGTAAGCATTTGGGTAAACGGCCCCTAACTTATGTTTTCCCGACAATGTCTAATTAGAAATATAATTTTTTATCTTTTTTGATTAATATAAATAAATAAAGTTGCATTGAATTTGGTTTGTTAGAGCATCTCTAAATATTCTCTATAATTCTCTAAAATAAATAATCAAAAGTTGAAATATTTTTAAAAAGTTACATTCAACTCCAAGAGGTTATCTATTTTGCTGATTTCAACATTAATTATATTATTTTAAAATCTTTTATAATTTTATTACAATACACTTACTAAAATAACTTTAAATTAAATAATAATAATCTATATATCTATATTAAAGAAGAAACTGTATGCAATGATGTGGCCTCTTCTCAAAACAATAAAACATTTTATCTTTTTTCTCATTTTCTCAAGTTTTTCCTACCTCAATATTTGTTTTTTATTTTTGATATTCACATTTAAGATTCTTTAATTAGGTTGTTTCAACTCATTCATGTTCTCTCTAATAATTAATCTTTTAACTCTCATTATTTCTTTCTATTTGATTGTAAATTTTCATCTTTTCTTCATGGTACACCTCTATAATAATCTCTCTATTAATCTCTCAATTTTTCTTCTCTATTCATGTATAATTTTGTGGTACACCTTTATGATAATCTCTCAATTATTCCTCTCTATTCATGTATAATTTTGTGGTACACCTATATGATAATATCTTTATTAATCGAGATCTCTATTCAGTTTATAAATTTGTGGATGCGATTTGCATTCAATAAGACAAATCTTGGTATGAGTTTTTGCTTATGTAAGTATAGTATTTCTTTTTTTAGTCGGAGACATTCACATTATAATTGGAATTATGTAGGCATATGGATTTTTTGTGTGGATAAAGTGACATATGAATCATTGAAGAAACAATTTAACATTGTTTAAGCATAATATCTCTCTTAATCTCCCAATTCTTCCTCTCTATTCAGTTTTTTGGGAGGTGATTTGCATTTTTGTTTATTTGAGCCGTCATTCAAGAAGAGAAATATGATATGAGTTTTTGTTAATGTAAGTATATTATTTTTGTCTTTTAATTGGAGACATTCACACTAAAATTGGAATTATGCAAGCATATGAATCTCTCTATTAATCTCTCAATTTTTCCTCACTATTCAGTTATAATTTTGTGGAGGCAATTTGCATTTTTGTTGATTTGAGGCGTCATTCATTAAGACAAATCATAGTATGAGTTTTTGCTTATGTAAGTATAGTATTTCGTCTTTTAGTTGGAGAATTCACACTAAAGTTGGAATTATGTATGCATATGAATTTCTTTTTTGTGTGTTCATAAAGTGACATATGAATCTTTGATGAAATAAGGTAACATTGTTTAGCATAATAATCTCTCAATTCTTCTTCTTTATTCAGTTTTTGTGAATGTGATTTTTTTTTTTTGGTTGATTTGAGGCATCATTCAAGAAAATAAATATGATATGGGTTTTTGTTGATGTTGATCGGTTTATTGTGATTTTTTTCTTCTTTAACATTGAGCTTGAAAATAATTTTCTAATATTTTTAATTCTTAAAGAAGAAACCGAACATAATGAGGTGTTATCCTCTAAACATTAGAAACCCATATTTTTTTCTTAAACTTTTTATTTTTTAAAATATTTGATATGTGTAAAAGACTTTTTCATCCTTATATTTAAAATATGAAATTCATCAGGATAAAGTTGTTTTATCCAAGAATGAAAATGTTAAACTTTTTAAAATTACCAAAACAACATCATCCTAATGAATTTAATGTTTTAAATATAGAGATGAAAAATTCAGGTTTACTACCATAATACTAATTTAAGTATTATTCTTCTTCTCTATCACTTGATGTATTATTCATTTTTCAAAACTTTTTTCTTCAACAATTTATTTTTTCAGGTAATCTTTTATTTTCTCTGTTCATCAATTGATTTGTTCTTTCATTTTATAAACTTTATTATTCAATAAGATCATTTTTCAGGTTTACTATGAGGATACTAATCTAAGTATTATTCTTGACTTTTGTTGGGATTTTAGAGTTTATTTATTTTTTATTTTTTTCCTTCTATATTTTTCTTAAGTTTTTTCATTGGAATTAAGAATTTGTTCTTGACAACAGTTATAGAGTTTTGATGGCTACAACGGTTCGATAATTGAATTTTGAATATATGTATTAGAAAATATATGATATAACCTCAACAAACTTTAATATGTTCTTTTTCAATTGTTTTTTTTCTTCTAGATTAATACAAGAAGACTAATCTTACATTATTTTTCGACTTTTGTTAGAATTTT